AGGAGAGGGCCGACGAGGCGAGGCCCGGTGAAGAGTCTCTAAGAGGTCCTACGCCTGACGCAGCAGGGAATCCTAGACTACACACAGCAGTAGCTCCAAGGCCACAAACAGCAGGATAATAAAAATTAGCAACACTAGAAGCATCAGAATACAGAGAATACAAGGCATGGTCAATCTAAATCATATCCATATCAAATATAGGAACTCCACAACGAAGCAAGACCAGCCAGGGGGGAACCTGCACCTGCGAGCCGAAGTGACGACGGTAGAGGTCGTCCAGGCGTTGGAAGCAGCGAGCGGCAGTGTGCCCTTCGCGCCAGCACACCTGGCCCGCATGTGGGCCAGTCAGCAACTGGTACGTGCAAGTTACCAGCACCCTGACTCACAAAAGAGCCACGCGACCCCCAGGGCACCGACAGCCCTGGGCCCCAACCCCCACGGCCTCCACCACGACTACCACCCCCAGGGCCCGCCAGCCCCCAAGACTGCTGCGGCTGCTGCTGCTGCTGCTGCTGTGCAGTCCCCGACTCCGATAGACCACCCTCTCCGTCCGCACCCTCACCCCCTCCATCCGCTGCTGCCGACCCCCCACGACCCTTGCCCTTGCTGCCAGATGAGCGGCCAGGGGCAGAGGTAGCCGCTGTTGTCTCAACTACAGAGGCAGAGGCAGGGACTGTCACTGGGGAGGGAACACTGCCCTGAAAAATAGGGACCGCCGGCGCGCCAGTGGAACCGGCGATAGCGCGGAGGCGGTCCTATATCTCAGTCAGGGGGGTGGAGAAGAGGTCATTGGTGAGCTCAGAGGGGTGACGAGCAAGGAGCGCATCACGGGAAGGGGCTAGGCGGTCAGGGAAGCGGGTGACAAGGAATTAGACAGTGGCGAAGAGGGGGGGCGGGGCGAGCGCTAGCTGGTCCTCAGTACAGGCCGCACGCCAGCGAGCCTCGCGAGAACGTAGGTGCTCGACTAAGTCTGCTACAGTGGTGAACGACGTCAGGTCAGGGTGGAAGAAGGGAGGAGGAGGCGACCAAGAGTGGCAGACGACAGAGTGGAGTACCTAGCTAGGATAGCCAGCCAGAGGGCACGGGCTGACGCAGCACCCACAAAGTGAGAGTGCTCGGCAACCGGCAGGCACCTGAGGATGGCGACTCGAGCAGTGGCGTCGCAAGACGCCCAGATAGAGTAGGCAGTACGAGCAGCAGCGTGCACAGCCTGCTGCTCAGACGTCGCGTCATGAGCAGGAGCGCCTGGGCGAGGGATAGTGGGGAGCTCACCAGAGACGTGGGCGTCCAAAGACTCGTCGTCGATGCGCTGACTCGTGAGCTGAAGGAGAACTGCTTTCTGCCAGGCGGCGAAACCGACTGCCCGCCCCTCCCCATCCAGGCGCAGAACGAAGACGCGGGGCGACACCATGCTGGCAGCTGCGGTCGGAAAGACAGTGACGGCAGAAGCAGGAACAGCTGGGGCAGCTGCTACAGGAGCCGGTGGCAGCGAGGGCGGCTAGCTAGCAGCGAGGTGAGGATGGTAGCAAGCCAGCAGTGAGCTGGCTAGCGGATGCGGCTACGTGGGTACGGGCGAGCCGCGGCAGTAGTGGCAGCAGCGGCTACAGTGGCAGTGTGGGCTGTAGCGGCAGGGGCAGCTGCAGGGGGCATCGTGGTAGCTGCAAGGGCAGCAGCGACAGTAGTAGCTGCAAGGGCAGCAGCTGCAGCGGCGGCTGCAAGGGAAGTGGCGGCAGCGGCAGTGGCGGCTATGGCAGTGGTAGCAGCGGCAGCTAAAGCGGCTGCAGCGGCAGTGGCAATAGCAGCTGCAACAGTGGCCGCGGCGGCGGTGCAAGTGGCTGCAGCGGCAGAGCAAGCAGCAGAGCAAGCTGCAGCAGTGGCAGAGGCAGTGGCGTCAGTTGGCACTGCTGACTAGTGCGGGTAAGCGGCGGGCGGGCACTGGCGAGCTGGTGCTGGCGGCTAGCAGCTGGAGAGCTGGCGTTGGCGGCTAGCAGCTGGCGAGCTGGCGGCTAGCAGCTGGCGGCTAGGAGCTGGTGAGCTGGCGGCTAGTAGCTGGCGAGCTGGCACTGGCGGCTAGCAGTTGGTGGCTAGTAGCTGGCATTGGCGGCTAGCAGTTGGCGGCTTGCAGCTGGTACTGGCGGCGGCTAGCAGCTGGCGAGCTGGCGCTGGCGACTAGCAGCTGGCGAGCTGGCGCTGGCGGCTAGCAGCTGGCGAGCTGGCGGCTAGCAGCTGGCGACTAGTAGCTGGCGAGCTGGCGCTGGCGGTTAGCAGTTGGCGGCTAGCAGCTGGCGCGCTGGCGTCTAGCAGCTGGCGAGCTGGCGCCGGCTGGTAGCAGCTGGCGAGCTGGCGCCGGCGGCTAGCAGCTGGCGAGCTGGCGCTGGCGGCTAATAGCTGGCAAGGTGGCGCTGGCGGCTAGCAGCTGGCAGCCAGCAGCTAGCAGTTGGCGAGCTGGCGTTGGCGGCTAATTGCTGGCGAGCTGGCGCTGGCGTGCTGGCGCTAGCGAGCTGGCGCTAGCTGCTAGTGTTGGCTAACGCAGGTGAGCTGGCGCTGGCGTCAGGGACGAGCTACGATCGAGCGGGGGAGGAGGGGGGGGGGGGGGGGGATCGGCGACTAACGAAGGCGCCAATGTGGCACGAGCTAGCGGCGGCTGGCGCTGGTCGGCACTAGCTGGTGGCGGCTGGCGCTAGCCGACGCGGGCTACGCGACGAGCAGAGTAGGGCGGGGAGGGGACGATCTACACGTTGCGCAACTAGGGGGGAGGCGCGCTAGGCTAGGGTGTGCTAGGGCGGAAGCGTGAGTAGAGGGCGAGACCTAGCTCTAAATGCCATGTTAGAATGTCGAGAGAAAATTGGGCTAAGGGAGGAAGGCTGAGGGTTACAAAGGTGGGAATGTACCCTCTAAGAACTGACCTAACCAAGGCTATAACAAATATACTGTACCTAGCATAGACAATTATATTTGTTGACACATATATGTCTGGGGTCTGAGACCAAGATGGATTCAATTTTTTTCACGTGGAACATAACGGAAGCGGACGATGGGGCGGCAAAGGGGTGGGCAGGGGAGGAGGTTGGGAAGGGAAATGAAGAAGACAGGAGAGGACGGTGGGGTAGATATGTCAAGGAAATGCATCCTGGCAGGGAATATTACATCTCGTAACGGAGTTCCGAACAGTGGGTGTTAGGTGAAAATGAACCCAACTGCGCCTGACCGACTCCCATCTATAGTATAACTCATACTTCGGATGTTCGCGTCAATGTTTGGAGGGATTAAACAGAGTCTAAAATAGCCCCTGCTCGTCAGGTTTTGCGCATCGATCGCTTGTTTTCATTATGGACTGTAACTTTACACTTAATGGATCCCATTTGTTGAGATTTCATTACGATTGAAGTGCAAATCGGAGGTGTGCAGGACAAAACTTGAGGTGTTATGAATTAATCAGAGTAATAATTGGTAGTATAATAAAGGAGTCGTGATTCAAGAGTGTCGACACAAAATGAGGGCCTAGGCATTTATAGGCATGAACATAACAGAGCTAGCCGAGAACCACGCTAGCAGGTTGGGGCGGTTTGGTTGGCGAAAGCCACGGAAGCGCCGCGTGTCTAGGTTTGGGTTCGCGAAGTGGTTCGGGACCGAAGAAGTTGGCCGAGCCTGGACTTCCGAGAGTCGAGGGCGTACGCGCTGTAGTCGAGCCCAGTAAGGAAAAGGGAATTTCCTTACATGAGGAAGGTTGTGTTACAAGAATTGAGATCATCGTAACTTATCATGCATGGACTGGTAATTGAAGAGTACAGTAATCTCTGTATGTCGGTTGTGTGTGGGTGAACAGGCTGAAATTTCCTTCACTCGATGTTCTGAAGAGGATGACGTTCGCCTTGATTGCTGACGAGGTGCATGCGTGATGAATGGCCTCCCGTGAAGCAGGGGATACAATGGCCTCCCGCAGATAAGGAGCAAGAATCTGGGAAGCCATTTTGGCTCGCGCAATCATTTCCAGAAGATCTCGGAAACATTGTTTTGGCGCCATTTTGCCTCAAATGGGATTTCTTTAGCTGGGCACAATCCGAGTCTTCGGAAAATTGTTGAGAAAGAAAGCACTTTGTGAAAGCCAGCCACTAGCCAATAATTTCTCCCGAGGAACAGAACTAGTTGCTCCGTATTCCCCTGATGCAATCAGAGTAAATTGCTCTGACGTCCCTAGGGCCTTATCCACACGTTCCTGTCCAGGGAGTGTATACGCACTTGTAACGGGGATTTTTGGATAAGTCTGGTCTGCTGCTGTGAACATTGGGGGCAAGAAGCAGGCGTGAACGGGTTTGTTGTGGGGCTGAGGTTGGCGGGCAGGACGAAGGACACGGCGAGGGACGACCATAACGAAGCATTGTACAGTAAACCCTGTCGACACTGGATTGAGGGATGAGAGTGAGGGAGTGGCATCAGCCTTTCCTGCACGGGCAAAATGCATCACCTGGAGGAGTGGCGACTTTCAGGAGTCTCCGGGGCAGCCCCGATCTCAAGGCCTGCATGTGGGAAGATGGAGAACCTGTGATTGGGCTGCACGAGCCCTCCCTTTGAAAATTGCACGGGATAGTTTAGCAAACAAACCCTCCATCCGCGGGCTCTACTCGTAATGCCCGTAAATATGCGCCCGCGCGAGGGGCTGGATTCCTTTCTTTCTGCCCCTCCCAGTCTGTCCCTGCCCCCCTCGGCCCCAGGGCGCCAAGTGCCTGACTCCTCGTCCACATGTCTCACGTTTCGACGGCTGTCGCCGCATTGCCCCTCCGGGCAACAGACAGACCGTGCGGCTCGTGAGTTTTTTTCGCCCGACATGAAACTGCGTGCAGCAAACTTGCCTGTGCTTCAGGGCGAGGTTAGGATATACGGGTTCTCACATGAATGCATCGACTCTGATGCACCCAGGCTGGATGGGCTGTGCCTGAGAGGGGGTGGCTGCTGAACGAGGATTTGAAGCTCTATGTTTCGTCTAACTTACCTTCTTATGTCTGGGTACTGACGCTACTACGTGTGAATTCGCCTGCTTCAGTTGCACCTGCTCCGCAACGCTCGCAGTACCCGTTTCCGTCCTCATTCTTTAATCTGTATTTTAGCACATGTACACGGATCAACAGAGGTGGTCGTTCCTGCGTCGCGGCAGCGTTAACCCTATTTCGGGCGTACCTCCGCCATGATTTGTTAGCTGCTCCCTCTGACGTGTTCAGCCCGCCACGCCACCTAGCACTTTTTGGGATTCCTGGATCTGTCGGAAAGCCGTTGTAGTTCCTGCGTGGCGGCAGTCGGGTCGTGAGTGCATTATAAGGCGCCTAAGACGGGACCGCGAAGTAAATCTAAAGCGACTGGAAAGAAAAACCCTAAGTGGTGTTTAGGGCGCGTGAGGGTGGTCGCCAAGTGGCGGCGGGCAGTGGAGAGGCATGAGGGCGCTAGTAGTGGCCGGCACACATGGCGGTGTGGGGTGCACGTGGTTCACACTCGGCCTTTTGGCAGCTCTGCGTCGCCGAGGCCTCTCAGTGCAGCCTCTGCGACTCGGACCAGGTACCTCCTCCTTCTGCTCCCACTCTTCTCTCCTTTTCGGCTCTCTCCCTGTTTCCCTGCACTTTCTCATAGACTCGGCTTATACTGACTCCCTTCTTTCCCTTCTTCCGCCATTCATCCTTGATTGCGTGGGCTGTTCTCCTGGGCTGCATCGCGTGCGTGCAGAGCTGCTGGACGCGGCGCCTTACGTGGCGGCGTGCGGTCGAGAGCCCATCAATCTCGACGCCTGGATGACTCCAGGGTACGCCGTCAGCCGGGCTCTTAGAAGGAAGGGAGGGATGGGAGGAAGTCTCGTGAAACGGGATTAACCGCTTTAAATCGTCTAAGTCAAAGATCCGATTAGAACGGGCCAGGATCGGTCAAGAATGAAAAGTCTTCGTGATTGGTGAAGCGAGGGTGAACGACGGGTCCAGATCCGCGAATATGAGGGCGCGGGGCCGAGCGGAGAATTCACGGGCAGGGGGATGCCCTTATCGGACATACGCGCCTTAGCTCCTAACGCTAGCTGCGCCCTCTCACGCTTTCTACCCGCTGACTTCCTCTGCCGTTTCACCTACCGCTCTAATCCCTGTCATCTCTGTCATTGCGTGTCATGCATGTTGTTCCATCCCCTCAGGGACTTAACTCGCACCTTGTTTCAGCGGCGGGCGGCGGGCGCCGACGTGGCGGTTGTGGAGGCAGCGGGGGGGGTGTTCGACGGGTGGGACGGCGGACGGGCGGACGGCGCGGGCAGCGCGGCGGGGATGGCGAAGCTGCTGGGGGGGCTCCCGGTGCTGCTGCTCCTGGACGGCCGCTCCGCCGCGCGCTCCGCCGCCGCGCTGATCCACGGGTTCACGTCCTTCGACCCCTCGCTCACGTTCGCGGGCATGCTGCTCAACATGGTGCGCTGATTCGCGGGGGGTGGCGAGTTAAGGGGGGATGCCAGCGCGAGAGGTCCTATGATGATAATCCGGCTTTCAGGAATCTTTCTTTAGTTTTGTCCGATTCTCGGCCACTGCAATGAGGCGCTGCCGTCGCTTTGTGGTCTTTCTGCTCACTGTTAACGCTCCTTCCGCCATCTTCCTCCCCGCTCCTTTCTCTCGTTCCCCGTGTCTCGTATGTGAGTGCGCGCAGGTGGAGAACGAGGCGCACGCGCAGTGGATGTGGGACGCGCTCTCCGCCGCCGATGTGCGCCTGCCGCTCATCGGCGCGCTCCCCTTCCTCCCGCACCTCTCGCTCTCCGCCATCCTCTCCTCCCCCTTCTCCCCCACGCACTCTTCCGCCTCCTCTCTCCTCTCCTCCCCCGCGGTTCAAGACTCTCTCTCCTCCGGTTCCTCCCCCCCAGTCTCCCCCGGTCCTTCCCCCCATCTATTCGCTGCCCTCGCCGACGCGGTATCGCACCACGTGCACATTCCGCGCCTCCTCTCCGCCTGCGCCTTGCTCCCGCTGCCGTCGCCGACGTTCCCGCTCTCGTCCCCGGGCGGGGCGGGCGGGCGGCGCAAGGCGGTGCGCATGGGCGTGGCGCGGGACGCGGCGTTCTGCCTGGTGTACCAGGAGAACCTGCTGCTGCTGCAGGGTGAGCGGGGGGGAGAGAGAAGGGGGGCGCGCTGTGTGTGTTTTGGGGGGAGGGGGGGGGGAGGAAAGGGAGAGAGGGGACTGGGTGAGAGACGAGGGGGCGTTGGTGTGGGTGAGCCAGGGGGTATGAATTTGGTGTTAATTCGTGCTGGTACGATTTGAGACGACAAGGACGCCCGTCTTGCCTCCTCTCTTCCCTCCCCTCTCCCCCGTCCCCCTTCACCATCGCCTCTCTCTCCCCCCCCCTCTCTCTCACTTACTCTCTCTCCCCGTTCCCACCCCCTTCCCCCCTTCCTCCCTCGCCGCCATTGGTCGCCCCCCATCGTCCCTTCCCACCCATCAGAGGCGGGGGCAGAGCTCGTATTCTTCTCGCCGCTCGTCGACCCCCTGCCGCCGCGCTTGCACGCCGTTTATCTCCCCGGCGGCCGCCTCGCGCCCTTCGCACCTCGCCTATCCTCCAACCGCTCGCTCCGCTTCGCTCTGCGCGCGTTCGCCGCGGCGGGGGGCCTGGTGCTAGCGGAGTCGGCGGGAACGGTGTTCCTCGCGCACTCGCTGCAGGTCCGCGCGCTCCTTCCCCTTCCGCCTCGTCCGCTCCATGCGCACCCTTGTCTTTCTCTCCCACCGCTTCCCCGCGCCGTTCCCCCTACTTGCCCGCGCTTATCTCTCGTCTCCCTCCCCGGCCCTTCCCCTACCCCCGCCGCACCCTCTCCGCGCTACAGGGCACGGACGGCGCGGAGTATCCCATGTGCGCGCTGCTGCCGTTCACCGCGCGCGAGCTGCACGCGCCACCCCCGCCGGCGTACTGCCTGGTGAGTGCGCGCTGCCCTTGCGCTATCGCGTCATTGCGCCATTTGCCCCCTCCCCCCTCCCCCACCCCTCCCTCCCCCAGAGTTCTCCCGATTCCCCTTTATTTTGATGCTTCCAGTGCTCTCCTCCTCTCCGCAAATTGTCTATGCCCCGCGCCTTCACACCCACCCCGTGCCGCCTGTCTTCCCCTGCGCGCCCCGCCCCTGCTCCGCCCCCGCCAGGTGCGCCCGTCCCTGGGCTCGCCGCTCTTCGACCCGTCGCTCGCACCCATCCGCGGGTGCCTCGTCGCGTCCGCGGAATTCACCCCGCTGCGCAACCACTCTGCGCCGATCGCGCCCCCGCCGCTGCACCGCCCCGATCTCAATGGGTGCGTTGATAGAGGCGCGCGGGGGAGGGATTGGATTCACACGGGGGTACTATAATTGAATGGGTACGGCGCGGGGCAGCACATACGATACGAGTGTTGCACCTTGCCGCTCGCCATATCCGCACGTGCCTTCGTCCCGCCTCGCTTGCCCCGGCGCGAGGTCTGTACCCCGCTCCGCACTCACTACCCCCCTCTTTCCCCCGTCCCCCCTCCGCGGCCTTTCCCCGGTCCCCCTCCCGGGCAACCCTACAGCTTTCCCGCGGAGCTCGCGTCCGCCACGAGCGTGCGCCGCCCGCAGCCTCCGCTCTTCTCCCCCCATGATGGCAGCGCGGGTGCGGAGGGTTCAGGCGCGGTGCGGCGGGAGGGCGTGGTGGCGGGGGGTGCGGTGGCGTCTCAGCTGCACCTGTGCTTCGCCTCGAACCCCTGTGCCGCGCCTGCCGTCATCCAACACGTGCTGTGAGTCCTTGCGAGACTCTGTGTGTCTCTCTGTCTCTCTGTCTCTCTGTCACTCTGTCGCTCTGTCGCTCTGTCTCTCTGTCACTCTTTCACTCTGTCTCTCTCTCTCTCTCTCTCGCTCTCTCTCTCTCTCTCTCTCTCTCTCTCTCTCTCTCTCTCTCTCTCTCTCTCTCTCTCTCTCTCTCTCTCTCTCTCTCTCTCTCGCTCTCTCTCTCTCTCTCTCGCTCTCTCGCTCTCTCTCTGCGCGCGCGCCCTCTCTCTCTCTCTCTCTCTCTCCTCTCTCTCTCTCTCTCTCTCTCTCTCTCTCTCTCTCTCTCTCTCTCTCTCTCTCTCTCTCTCTCTCTCTCTCTCTCTCTCTCTCTCTCTCTCTCTCTCTCTCTCTCTCTCTCTCTCTCTCTCTCTCTCTCTCTGCGCGCGCGCCCTCTCTGCGCGCTGTCATCTCGCCCGTCCGGCACCTTTCCCATCGGCCACACTCACTTCGCCTCCGTCCGCTGCTGTCGCCTTCCCCTCTCTAACCTCCGCTCTCCTGCCTCTCCCTTCGTCTCCCCTCGGCCTCTCCAAATTTTATTTTCCCCAGGATGTTTTCCACCAAGGCAGCGTCAGTTGCGGCGGCATCAGCGGCGGCTGTCGCGGCATCGGGTGCGGAGGCGGCAGCAGCGGCGGGGGCAGCGGCGGCGGCAGCGGTGGACCGCGTATTGGACGAGCCGTGCACGCCCGACGCGCTGTCTTCCCCCCGCCGCTCCACCTCGTCTCTCTTCTCTCCCTCCGCCTCCGCCTGCGCCTCCCCCTCCCCCTGGTCCCGCCGCCGGCGCAGCGAGAGCTCTCTGCTGCTCGCGGATTGCGCCACTCCCGACCGCTCCGGCGCCCCCCGTCCCGCCTTCCCCCCCTGCAACGCGCCGCCATCCCACCTTCCGCCGTTCCCGCCACCAGCAGCGCGCCATTTCCCCCGCTCCGCGTCCTCCTGCTCCGCCGCGTGCCCGGGGTGCTGGGATCTCTCCCTCGCCTCTCCCCGCGCCTCCCCGCGCTACGCTGCTCCGCGCGCCGGTCCGCGGGAGGGCAGCGGAGTGGGGCACGGAGAATGGGGCGAATCAGCGGACGGCGGAGAAAGCCTGGGCGCGGCGGAAGGATGGGGGGAGCGGATGGCGGAGCAGCGCGGGTGGCTGAGACGGTCGGAGACGTTTGCGGTGGGGGAGGGGGGAAGACGGGGCGTGGGGAGCAGATGGCGGGATGTGCGCGCGGAGCAGAGCGGCGATAATGACTGGGAGATCGCGCAGGGGGACTGCAGGGGCGGAGCAGAACGGGACTGGCGGAGGGGATGGCGCGCATGGACGCCGCTGTACAGCAACGGGGGGAGAATGGAGGAGGGGGAGGAGGGGGAGGAGGGGAGAGGCGCGGAGAGGGGCGGCGTGGTTTGCAGCGGCAGCGGCAGTTGCAGCAGCGTGTGCGACAGCGGTAGCGGGAACGGGAGCGCCGGCAGCATGAGCACGAGCAGCAGCGGCAGCTGCGGCAGCGGCGTGTGTGAGATGCCGGCAGGGACGCAGGGCGGCGGCAAGAAGCAGGAGGCGAAGGAGAGCAGCGGGGTGAGCGATACTGGCAAGAGCGGCCACGAGGTGAGAGCAGCCGCAGCCGCAGTAGCGAAGAAGGCTGGCGCGTGGGAGAGCGCGGAGAGCGGGGCGGAGAGGATGAGGATGCGGATGCGGAGCAGCAGCAGCGTGCGCGCGGAGCAGCTGCGCCTGATGGGCCTGGAGAAGACACTGTCCGCGGGCCGCATGCAGCGCGCCAGGAGCGACGTGCGCGCCGGGTATGCCGCGTGGGCGCGCCGCCTTGAGGACGGCAGCGGTATCACGGACGGCAGTGCCTTCAGGGACGGCAGTGGTTTCAGGGACGTGCGCACAGATGCGCGGCGAGGCAGCTGCGACGCAGCATACAAGGGGGATGATCTAGGGGGTGGCTATGGTTACTACTACAGAGGAGCCGGTGGGCGCGGCGCGCGGAGCATGACCATCCGCGAGAGCGAGGAGATCCCCGCAGAGCCCACCTCCGCTCATCGCCCCCTCCTCTCCATCCCCCCGCCCTCCGCCTCCGCCGCCTCCCCCATGCGCCGCTCCCTCTCTGACCTCTGGCCCGCGCGCCCGCCTCTCCTCCCCCTCAACCCCGCCCTGGCCTCCCCCGCGAAAGCTAGAGGGGGGAGAACGGGCGCAGGGGGTTGGGGCGCGGGGAAAGGAGGGGGAGAGGCGGAGGGTGTGTGGGGGCAGCGCGGGAACGAGGGGAGGGGCAGGTGGAGCTTAGAAGGCGCGCACGCGGAAATGGGGGACATTCCGAGGAGGGCGCGCACGGATGTGGGGGGGATGGGAAGGGACGCATGGGATGGGGGAAACACATGGGGGGAGGGGAACGCGGGCGCAGAGGGGAAGGCGCGGAGGTGGCGGCGCGCGTCGTTAGAGGTGATTCAAGGTGCGGCCAGGGGGGAATGGGGGGAGGTGTATGGGGGGGGAATGGTGGGGGGAGAGACGCTAGCTGCGGAGCAGGAGGCGGGGGAGGATGCAGGGGAGGGCGGAATGGAGATAGTGCGCGTGGAAAGCGGCAGCAGCAGCAGCAGCATCGGCAGCTTGAGTGCGGGAGGGAGTGGGAGTGGGGACGAGAGCAGCGGTGCGGAGGGGGTGTGTGAGGGGCAGGGGAGGGGAGCAGGGGGGGAGGTGAGCGGAAGCAACATGAGAGGAAGCGAGGAGGAGGAGTGGGCGAGAGTGAGGAGGCAGGGAGGGGAAGCAGGGCGCATGGGAGTTTTTAAGGCCAGAGGCGTCGCTGTGGCGTCGCCCCCTCGCTCTGGTGCTTTCCGGATCTGCGAAGAAGAGGAGGAGGAGGAGGTAGAGGAGACAGCATACAGCAATGGCAGCAGCATAGGCGACACAGACAACACAAGCAGAGCAATCCCCGTGCTTGCAGGCGCCCCTGACGCCATGGCAGGAGCACATGGGGCGGAGGGGGAGGGGCAGCGCGGGGATGGAGAGAGGACGGGAAGCAGTGGGGATGGCGGGTGGGCGGGGGAGCATGGGGGGAATAGAGAGCAGACTCGTGGTGCTGCGTGGGGTATGCACGTGATGCACCCTGCACGCCATGGTTCCGCTGCTGCTGCTGCTGCTGCTGCTGCTGCACCCTCTGCTCTCCCTGCTGCACCTTGTGTGCTGCTGAACCTGGCGCCAGGCATGGGCGACCTACTCCCTCGTGCAGGTGAGAGATCCTGAACGGAGCCTGTACCATCATTGCTCCATTCGTCATGCCCCACCCATGGTCGCCCTCCACCCCCGCCTGCCTCCACAGCCACCACAAATGCAATACATTCTTTTCCCGTTATTTCTTTTCTTAGTTCTTCTCCCTCCTAACACGTCTCGCCCGCCAGGTGCCTCGTACTGGCACCCCCTGCTGCCCCGTGCCATTGACTCCATAGAGCTCTCGTCCAAGGGCTGCGCAGCAGCGGGCTTGGAGTCGACACAGCCATGTGCCGCTGCCGCTGCTGCTGCCCAGTGCATGGCGCTGTGCTCTGCGCTCTCGTCCCACCTCCTCGCTGCTGCTGCCTCGTCTGCTTCCACCGACCCGCTCTGGCACCTGGTAACACTCCCAAACTCTCCATGTGCCATGCTCAACTCTCACCACGCCGTATGCTGCTGTGCTCTGTGCTCTTTGGCACCATGCGT